CCATTCCTTTTTTTTTTTTTTTTTTTTTCTCGTGACCGGCAACGGATCGCAACCCTCAGTGTCGCGCCCGTACCGGACCGGGACCGGCCACGGGATCGCAACCCTCGGTGCTGCTCCCGTCCCTCGCTCAGCCAGTGAGCGGCCGGTCTGTATGTGGGATCCGAACCCTCGGCGGGAGCGCCACCACGCTTCCCAAGCGGCGCACTATAGCAGTGCGCCACCGGGCCGGCCCCCACCATTCCTTTTGAACTTTACCTGTCAAGCCAGCTCCAGCTGCACCGAAGAGCGAGGTCATGACAGCTATGCCGGCCACCGAGCCCAGAGCCGCTGCCCCGGCACTGCCAATGATTGTTGCGGCTCCAGCAGCAACAAGGGGGGCAGCTAGACCCCCGGTAACACCTGCAGGGAAAGCAGCCCACGGTGGGTAAAGGTGGGAGTGAGGACGTGGCTTGATGGGTTCCTACCCCATCAGCTGCCCACTGCCTTCCATGGAAGCTTTTAACAGTGCTAATGAGGACATTTACTGAGCACCTGCCACGTGCCAGGGGCCACCTCCCCACCAATCCCCCTGCACTCTCCACTCTCCCTCCGCACAGCTCTGGCACACGTGCCACCATCTCCCGCTGGCCTTACCGATCACTGTCCCGCCTCCGACAGTCGCCAGGCCTATCAGGAGATAACGCTTCCACTTCCTCCGATTTTCTTTCTTCTTCCGGGATGCCTCGGCCATTCTGGGAGAGAAGAGGTTGGTTTCTGGGTCCAGCTGTGCCCAGGATCCCTTGAGACCTCCCCGTCTCACCAACCCCCGTGTTGGGGTCAATGCTGCATGAGGTACTCTGTCATGCAGAGTAAGGTACCACAGTCACCCTCGGCCCATCGATGGTTTAAAACAGCTGGAAACATTCCAAAACCCAGACAGGGAATCTCAATGTGTAGGATGTGCTACTTACCCAACAAATCCATCCTAACAGGGTTGCAATTTGAATAATGAAAAGACAAAAAAAAAAAATGATAGTAATAGTAAGAGAAGCATAAAAAATATCTTTAAACAGATGGACCCGGAACGAGTACAAAACAGGGTCACAGACTCCATCCCCTCCCCCCTTCCCTCCCTCCTCCCCATCCTGCCCTCTGACCCCACCTCCCTCTGGGACATTTGGAAACCAACTTCCTTCAGAACGATCATTTCAAAGATGTGTTAGAGGAATATCTGCATGGGAGACCTTGGCCTTGGAGCAATAGTGAGACTCATTCAGCCTTGAAATTGAAACACTATAAAATGGCAAAAGGAAAAAGCATTTAGAGTGAATTGGGGTCAGGTGAATCCTGAGCGTTGTTGTGGGTGCTCAGGAATCACGAAGCCCAATTTTCCTGTCGGATGTTCAGCCACTTTCAGGCGCTCAGGAGCAGGGTGGGAGGCGAGGGCGGGACGGAGCGGTCACCCTGTGTGGACTCTGAACTGCTGGAGTTTGGACAGTAGCTCAGTGCCAGTGATAGCACATGAGGCTGATAATAGAAGGTTACTATTTATAGAGCACTTCCTCTTTGCCAGTTGCCATGCTTTGCTCTTCCCCTGATTTTATCTTAAGAAGTGGAATTATTATTGTCCCCATATTATAAATGAGTTAAGGGCTGTGGGGTCAATTAAGAGACCGTAAGGCATTTAGCACAATGGTTGGCACCCTGAAAGTGCCAAACAAAATCATGGCTGTGGTTATGATGACACTGCATCTCCCTGAGCCTCAGTTTCCTCTTTTGTGAAATACGGATAATAACACCGACCTCATAAGGTTGCTTTTCTGTAAAGATTAAATTCGCTTCTTTATCTATTGAATCAATAAACGTTTACTGAGAATGGGCAATGTGCTGGCACTTTTTTTTTAATGATTCATTTTGTTGCTTTATTTAAAACTTTTTTTTTGAAGTTTGAGACATACACAGAAGTGCAGAACTGGATGAATTTGCACAAACTAAACAGCAACTGCCAGATCAACAAACTGAGCGGCATCTGCACCCCTGAAACCCTCTTGCGGTCCTTTCTAGTCACTCCCCCCAAGAGTGACCACTGTCCCCACTCCTAACAGCTTAGATTAGTTCTATCTGTTTTTACAGGTTGTTTCAACGTCATCAGTGAATGAAGGTGCTTCAAAAAGTTCATGGAAAGATTCATATTATCTTTTAATTCTATTTTTCCACCAACTCTTTGAAGTACCCTGGTATATATTTTTTCCCCATTTTAAAAAAATTGCAGTAAAACATACACAAGGATTGCCATTTTAAGCATTTTTAAACATGCAATTGTGAGGAATCAATTACATTCACAATACTGTGTAACCACTACGTCTATTTCCAAAACTTACCCGTCATCCTAAACGTAGACTCTGTACCCATTAAGCAATCACTTCTCATTACCCAGCCCCTCGTTTCTGGTAAGATCTAATCTACTTGTCTCTTAATTGACCCATGATAATTGTATATATCTAGAATGGCTAGCATCCAAAAGACAGAAAATGACAAAAGCTGGCGAGGATGTGGAGAAAGGGGAACTCTTACACATCGCTGGTGGGAATGTAAATTAGAACAGCAATTATGAACGGTAAGGTGGTTTCTCAAAAAACTACAGACAGTGCTGGCACTTTGGGTGCTGTGTATCTGTGAGCAGAAAACCGTACGGCTCAACTGATACCTGTTCCCTTCCCATCCCCTTCCTCACGAACCATACAGTAAGAAACAGCTCAGTCTCCAGACATCTAAAAGAAATGGGACTTGAGGCAGGCATGTGGGGATCTGCTATGCTTTTTGCATCCCTGCCAGCTCACCTCAGCACATTGTTTTCCCAAGCACCTCCTGGGGGTAAAGCACAGCACTTTTCACAGGGAAGTGGAAACAAACGACAAAAATCTCCGTGCACACCATGGGCGCTGGTTTTCCATGATTAAAAGTCATGTCATCAGCGTTGTGGAATGAGGCTAAACTATATGATTCTAGCAAAGTAGAAGGCGAGGGGGTCTGATGTCAGGATTCAAAACCTGTAAACACAGGCATGGCTCCTACCTCTGCTGCTGTGGTAGACTATATGACCTTCACCGAATATTCAGTTATCCTGCCCGGGGACCCGGAACCAACACAGCGTGGACTAAAGCCACAGCCACTGTGCCATGGACGTGCAGTATGAACAATACACCTTCGATGCTGTTGAGCCATTGAGATTCAGAGGTCATTTGTTACAACGGCAAAATCTAGCCTATCCTGATGTATCCTCCACTTACTAACTTCGTGACATGCACAAATTACTTGTCATGTCTGGGTTTCCTCATTCGACAGATGGGGATAATAGTACTTAATTCCCAGGGGTACTGTGAGGACTAAATGAGACGATCCACACACAGTGACGGGCAGACTAATCGTTCCACATTCGTTGCTGTTTTCATTCCTTTTGTTATTAAATTATTTCCTCCTAAACACAGGCTGGGGATATACTTTGACCCTTAATTGCTTTAACCCTGAATCGATGACTCTTAATTCAGTTCAGACTGTAAAGCTGGAAAGTTATCAGTTTTCGGCAGAGTTCAAAGCCTGAGAAAAAAATGCAAGCTACTGACAACACGCAACAGGAACACACAACGGGACAGGTGACATGGCTCTGTGAGTCAGCAATATCTTGATTCAACAAACACTGACTGGGAAATAGTCTGGAAATTGGGGAAGAGGTGTTTGAACCTAGCTCTGCCACGATCTTGCTGCGTCATCCAACTATTCTGAGCCTCGATTTTCTCACCTAGGAAATGTACACGTTAAACGCCCATGGAAGGGTGAGGAGACAGCGCCCGAAGTCCAGCAGGAGAAGATAACCTGGACTGCCTGCCTCCCTCTCCCTCTCTCCTGCCTTTGGGATGGTGTCACCTCCCCAGCATGACACTCAGGCCCTCTGTGTCCTGGCCCCTGCCTCCTTCTGCAGTTTCATCTCTCGTCACTCCCTAACTTACACTTTACCCTCCAGGAACACTGATCTGCTTGCAGGCACCCCTGCCATACGCCTCAGTACCCATGTGCCTTCTGGCCCTTGGCCATCAGGGACCTTCTCACCTTCCTGTGCCTGGTTCAACATTATTCATCTGTCAAGAGCTAGCTGATGAGTGACGCCTCCTCCAGGAAGGCTGCCCTAAGCCCCAAGGTTGCTAAAATGCCCTGACTCTGGGCCCCTCAAACACTCTTCTACCATATCCTGGAATTCCAGACCAGTGATTTTCAAAGGGTGGGCATCTGTATCACAAAGGCGACCTGCTAAAAACGTAGCTTCCCCGGCCAGAATCTCTGGGTGTGAGGGTGAGGATCTGAATCTGTAACAAGGTCCTACAGGGATTCTGTGTATCTCAAGGTTGCAAATCACTGGGATAAACCTTCAGGGCACAGACCAAGCCATTTCCAGCTCTTCACCCTCAGCAGCTTGCCCTAGGCTTGGAACCTGGGGATTGCTCAGAAAATGTTCTTGAACAGAGCCTAATTATTCCAACAGGATTGGAGGTGATCACTTTGCTGCAGAGATAAACCTCCCATTCACTGTCCACATCTAGGAAAACCAGAGGGACACAGAGTGGACATTTTTGGCTAAATAAGAATATGCAGAATAGAGGCTAATCGCCATCAAAATGGAAACTCTAGGATATTAGGACAAATTGGAAATGTTAAAAAATGTTCATGACTACTACAGACTTATTGTTAAGAACATAGTCAAATTCTTGAGTTAATGCCACTGACGTTTCCTGGCATCATCTGCTTCTAGATTGTTCCTGCAGCGACATCTGCACATCTGTGACACTTTTCGCTGATGGAATAAAATACCTAAAAAGTAAATACAGTCCTTTCAGGCCGTTTTATGTAAATGCATGACTGCTAGTATATCAGTCAATTTTACATAGATTAGATGGATGATAAGCTCTAATCTCTAGTATTCTGCTTTGTATTATTATTTAAATGTTTATAAACATTTTTTGATTCAAAAAGAAGATATTTTTCCTAAAGTTACTTAGTTAAGGCTTTCATTCCTAAACATTCATTTGAATGGCCAATCTATTTCCCTATTCATTTAAGTATTTGCATGTTCTTAATAATTGTTTTGTACATAAAATGAATAGCTTGTCCAGGGGTTAATTACCACAGCATCCTACTCCTGCAATTACTTCAATTACCTGATTAGATTTCAACACCTAAAGCACAAGAGGTGATTTAGCTCTGACTCACATGTGTAATGAATGCTTCCTTCCTTTTTCCCTGGAAGTGAAAATTCAGAGACCACTAAATCCAAATGACAGCCTTGTTCCTATGACTGACTTTGCCTGCTGATTAGACATGGTGGCAACCCAAACTATCAGATAATCCCTGGCCATACTCATCACATTCTGGAAAGCCAGAAATGAACTTGAATTGGTGTTCCATGTCAGCCTCCCAAAGACGGAGAACGAAGCCACGCTGCAGATTTGGGCCAAATCTCAGGCTGGAGCCAAAGATACCTCGTGAAGAGCAAGACACCTCTACTGCCCGTCTCATGGACCCCAAAATAACTTCACTCACGGCCATCTTATCTCCCATGAGAGGGTGTTCCCTGTCTTCACTACACCACCTTTTTTTTTTTTTTTATCACTTTCTCAGGTTGACAGACAAGGTCACCTGAGAGGCCCACAGACACTTTCCTGGTAAAAGCTCGGAAAGCCCCATAAAAATATCATCTTTACAGCTTTCTTCAGAATTGGGGGGGAACCTGGGATTGTGAAGCAGGCCTTGAGGGATACGGTAAGTGACATTCAGACTGCATATGGTGGTTGAATCAGATGATGCCACTGACTGGCATGTGACCTCGGGTGAATTATGTCATCTTCTGATTTTTTTCTTTACGTGTGAAAAACTAGGGGATTGTTATGAGGATCAAAAGAGGTGGCATCTTGTCCTGCATCTAGGAGGCACTCAATAAAAGTCAGATGTTGACAATGCTGTATCAATCTCCAGCAGCACATTAGCTAAGATTTACCCAGACCCTACTATGTGCCAGGAGCTGCTCCAAGCTTTTTTTTTTTTTTTTTTTAAAGATGACCGGTAAGGGGATCTTATCCCTTGACTTGGTGTTGTCAGCACCACGCTCAGCCAGTGAGCTAACCGGCCATCCCTATATGGGATCCCGTGGCCTTGGTGTTATCAGCACCGCACTCTACCGAGTGAGCCACGGGCCGGCCCTGCTCCAAGCTTTTGATATGCGTTAATTAATTTAATCCTCTCAACAACCCTTTGATGCAGATCTACCATTACCCCCATGTTAGAGATGAAGAAACTGAGGCACAGAGTGGTGAAGTCATTAAAAAAGTGAGGGGAGCGTGGATGGCTTCAGGGCTCAAATGGGGGAGCCAAGATCAGAGGGGTGGTACATTGCACCCTGAACCCCAACTGCAAAGGATTGCCTCAGAGTGCCAGTGATGAGCTTACCTCCCAGAAACACAAAACCTTAGAGTTAAAAGCAATCTACATACAATTTGATTCCCTAAGTACAGGTGAAAACTGGTGCTGGTGCCCAGAGAGGGAAAGCAACGTGCCGGAGGCCACGCAGAGAGTTCGTAGCGGAATCAAACTGAGAACCAGGTCCCCTGAACAGTGGCTATGCTTTCCCCATGTCTCAGATCCTTCCATAGACCATGGATAGAATCTGAGAGGTGTGCAAAGTCCCTAAAATTGAATAAATAATTACACATGTCAAGAATTTTTCTGGGGAAAGGATCTATACATAATAATGACACTACTGTAATAACACTGTTAACAGCAGCATGTAATGATATTTATGGACTAGTTATTCTGACCCAGGCCTTCTTGAAGCACTTTACGTGTATGAACTCATTTGAGCACCACAAGAATCCTATAAGGAGGGCACTATCTTCATTCCCATTTTGGCTGGCTAGAACGCAGTGTTGTAACACCCAGGTCAAGGGTTTGGATCCCCTTACCGGCCAGCCACCAAAAAATACCACAAACAAACAAAAACACTGTCATCCCCATTTTGCAGGTGAGGAAACTGAGGCCTAAAGAAGTTAAGTAACTTGCCCAAGATTGCAAAGGCTGGCCAGTGGCAGAGCTGGGCTGTGTTAGGACTTTTGGTTGACATCTTCCCTGATCTGGCATTACCAGTATTATAAGAACAAATCCTCTTGGTAATACATTTCTTTGTGTTATTAAGATTTCCAAACAATAACTGAGACTTTCCTTAATTTCAAAGCACAAAAGACCCTACAAATTTCTAATATATCCAAAGAACCCGGGCAGCCCCTGTGATGGCAGTAATTGGTCTGGTTCCAGATATTCCTTTACTGCGAGTCAAAACAAGTACGTTTTCAGGTTATTTCAACAGACCAAGTTTCCTCCTTTCTCAAGGAAACACCTCTTCCCTTTGCCTCTCAAACCCAGGCACAAGGGTGGCTCTGGCTCTGAACTTGGCTTGAGGATTAAATTCCCAGCTCAGCTATTCTGGTGCAACCTGGCTGCTCAAAGAAAGCCATTGCAGCTAAACAAAACCCAGAGCTGGGGAGACGTGACAGGTGCCAGGAGCCTGTAATAAGGCTGTGGACTAGGATTGATTTATTGCTATGGGATTAGATCCCGTGTAAGGTGTATTGCAAAGAGCTGAGCTCTGGCTGTTACCAGGATTACTTTCCTCTATGTACTCTTGACCGTGTATAGATAGCAAAGGCACTCTACGGCTGATGGATACAGGAGCGTGTGCGGGGAGGGAGGACTCACGTCTACTGACACTTGCTACATGCCAGCCCTGGGCCAAGCATTTTACAATATGATCGCACTCATTTTTCCCAGTGACTCTGGGAGGGTGCTAGCCTTATTCCCATTTTACAGATAAGAATACTGCAGCTTACAGGAAGGCCATCTGCCCAAGGTCAAACAGCAGGTGGGGGTCAGACATGGGATCTGAACCCAGATACTCGGGCCCATGGACATGGTGTCACAATAGTCTGAGGTGGAACAGGATGTCAGGGCCACGGGATATTAAAGTCACAGATTCGCAGCTCTTCGCAATCATCCATTCAATCCCCTCTTCTTCCAAATGGGGACTGAGGCCCAGAGAGGGTGAGTGATGTGCTAAGGCCACACAGCTGGGACCCTTCATCCAGTGATCCTTCTACCTTACCGTACCACCTCTAAATGGGGGCAGAAAGGGGCTCTGTGATCTGCGAGGTGAACGCAAGCGGAATTCCTCAGTCCCTGACAGGGGTTGCAGGGCTCTCTTACTCAGATTCCTCTTCTTTGGTTTCCTTCAGGCTTTCAAGAAACGTCTCTTCAAGGAAATCCAGTTCTTCCAATGGCATTTGGAGCAGGGAGGTTATGTGGCAAACGAGGACTCTGGCCCGGGCATCATAGCGCCCTCAAAAGAGAGAAACAACACAGGCAAAGAATCAGTTTAGGATTTACACACAGAGATGTTAACAGAGTACAATTGACAAAAACCAAACACTGGAAACACCCTCAATGCACAAACCCACAGGAGCGACCCAATGAAACAACAGCACAGCTTCCTGGACAGAATACGACACGACTATTAAAAATGCTAATCAAAAGCAAACTGGTATTTCTTATCAGCCAAGTTAGCAAAGATCAGTTTTTTTTTTTTTTTTTCCTTTTTTGTCTTTTTTTGTGACTGGCAACGGATCGCAACCCTCAGTGTCACGCCCGTACCGGACTGGGACCGGCAACAGGATCGCAATCCTCGGTGTTGCTCCCGCACCTCGCTCAGCCAGTGAGCGGCCGGTCTGTATGTGGGATCCGAACCCTCGGCGGGAGCGCTGCCGCGCTTCCCAAGCGGCGCACTGTAGCAGTGCGCCACCGGGCCGGCCCCAAAGATCAGTTTTTTAAACCCCACAGCTATTAAGGAGATGATAAAAATGGGTACCAAAAATGATTTAAAAGACACTATTGGTGGGAGCACACACTGGTATAGACATTTAGAAGGTCAACTTGACAATATGTATTAAAAACTTAAAAAAAAAAAGTGCTTCCCCTTTGCCCCAGGAATTCCATTTCTGGAATTCTAATTTTAAGAAAAAAACCCTAAATACAGACAATATTTAATGAACAAAGGTACTACTGCTGCATTTAAAACATGAAATTGGACACAATCTGGAGATTTATAACATCAGAGAATTAGTTAAGTAAACTGTATATACCTAGCCAATGGGAAAACTATGAAGCCATAAAAAATGATTCCCAAGAAAAGTTTGTAATAACGTTTGAAAAAGAAATGCTTATGCAATGAAATAAATTTAAAAAATGGGTAGAAGATTGACTTGATGATATGCCACAGGGTCCCAACTAAGAAAAAACAAAACAAAACAAAACACTGCAGAAGAAAAAAAAGTGAAGGAAATATGTCACATATGATTTTTTTCTTTTTCAAAATTGTCCATAATAAACTTGGGTTAACTTTATACCTGGAAAAATTAACCTATCAAAATTTAACCAGGGCCGGCCCAGTGGCGCACTGCTACAGTGCGCCGCTTGGGAGCGCGGCTGCGCTCCCACTGAGGGTTCGGATCCCACATACAGACTGGTTCCCACTCACTGGCTGAGCGAGGTGTGGGTGCAACACCGAGGGTTGCGATCCCGTTGCCGGTCCCGGTCTGGTACGGGCGCGAAACTGAGGGTTTCAATCCGTTGCCGGACACGAAAAAAGACAAAAAGGAAAAAAAAAAATTTAACCAAAAGTGTCTGTCAAAACTTTATATAGCCCAGCAGTTTGTTAGATTATGCTAACATCTGGTTGGGAAGGAATGGGGGATCTGAAAGGGGTAAAATGAACCAACCCTGATGAAAGGACTCCTGTCTTCAGGCAGCACAAGAGTAGACAGGATCCTATGCAAAGTGCCCCTGTTCTACCAAGACTCAGATTCCATTCCCAGCCTAAGCTGTCAAATCCCAACCCATCTCCCAGACAATGGGCCCCAAAGTGGCATAAGAACTCTCTGGGTCTCCTCTTGGGTGACCTCAGAACACACCACCACCCAGCCACCCAAGCCAGGGGACGGGGTATCCCTGTGGTCCTCCCTGTCCCTCATCCCTCACATGCAATGCCTCTGAGTCTGTTCGATTTTATCTAACAACATCTCTACTGTATCTCGCTTCTTCACATCCACAGCGCCTGGCTGGCTCAGGCCCTCGGCACCTCTTCAGTGGCCCACGCCAAGCAAATCTTCACTGGCTCCTCCGCCTCCATCACATCTCTGTCTACAGAACCCATTCCATGCCTGGTAGCCTGGCATGTGGGGGGTCATCTCTCACCAGCTCCCACCCTTCCTCAACACCCTCCCTTGGTCCCCGGCATGCCAGGCTGTGTCGCACCTGTGTGACTTTAATTTTGCCGGATGCTAGTGAAGGAAGTCTCTGCCTTCCAGTGGCTAAGAGAGCATCTCTCAAATCGGACATTCTCAGTTTTAATCCCCCATCTGCCACTTGCCATCTAAGGGGACTTGGACCACCTTACCTCTTTGATCTAGTGTTTCCCAGCATAATAAACATAAATCACTTAAAACAGCGCTTCATGCCAAGTCAGCTGTATTTGTTTCCTATGGCTGCTGTTAACAAATTACCAGACTTAGTGGCTTAAGACAACACAAATTTATTATCTGACAGTTTGGAGGCCAGATATCCTGAAATCAGGGTGTTAGCAAGACTCTGTTCCTTCTGAAGGCTCTGGGAGAGAATCTGTTTCCTTGCCTTTTCCAGCTTCTAGAGGCTGCCTGCAGTCCTTAGCTCATGGCGCCTCTCTCCAATCACTCCAACTCTGCTCCAGGGGCCACATCTCTTACTGTGACTTAGATCTTCCTGTTTTCCTCTTATAATGTGATTACACGGGGCCTACCTGGATAGTCCAGGATAATCTCCCCATCTCAAGATGCTGAACTTAATCACAGCTACCAAGTCTCTTTTGCCATGTAGGGTAACATATTCACAGGTTTCAGGAATTAGGACGTGGACATCTTTGGGGAGGCCACTATTCTGTCTATCACCTAAGCCTTGAACTTTTATTTTTCCCCGAGAAGTGGCTCAAACATTGCCTCCTCTCTGACCCCTCTCTGGATCACTCCTTCCTTCAGGGGTCTGCAGTCCCTTACGCAGGCTTCCTTCTCAGCATCTTTCCTGTTTTATTGCACTTGTCTGTATCCGTTTAACAGACTATAAGTTTACTCATCTGTATATCCAACCGCAGCACCTACCTGGAGCGTGGCACATAGTAGGAGCTCAATGTTGTCAGTGAATGAACAAATGAATAAACTGTTCTGACTTTTAGGTCACACATTCTATATGACGCCAGTACTATGACAGGCTTCCAAATGGGATCATTCTGACAGAGAGAAAGTCACAAGGACTCAGCATTCAGCTACTCTGCACCAACCTTCCTTGTGTGTACGGGCCCTGAGAGTTGTCTAAAATGCTAGTTCCCAAATCCAGCTGCCCATCAGGATTATCTGAGATGCTTGTCAAAAATAAGGTTTCCTGAATCCTGGTATATGAGACTCTCCTTTCCCTGGCCTCAGGTTTCCACGTGAGGGACTGTTCAACATGGCGTAGCCCCCGAAGTCTTCAAGTTTGAGGTTTCAGCATCTGCAAAAGAAATCAGTTCCTTCCTCGACACAGGGTCCTTCCTCAGAGCAAACCATGGTCTCCCGGGTCTGCTGGCATCTGCCCAACTGCTCTTTGCCACCTCCTGGATGACAAACAGTCTGCGTGCCAGGGAACAGACAACAGCATGTTGTTTTTTGGGGTTACTAGGTCAATTAAAGCTCCAAGGACAAAGGAGTTCCTTGCTCTATGATGATTAATTGGTGGCAATTATAATTAGTCGCTAATACAAAGTCCATCGGTCAAGGCTGCAGTGATTCATCTCCTAGAATACAGGTTGCCAGGTGCATAGGTGATTAACATTTCCTTGCTAATCTCAGGCATGGGGCTCTGTATCTCAGCCTTGTGTAAGGGTCATTTCAGGACCTTGGTGGCTGGACTGCTGGTCTCAGAGCCGAGGTTCTGTTTCTATTTAAGGCAGGGGGTTTAAGATGTGTTCTTTCTGGAGGCTCTAGGAGAGAATCTCCTCTCCTAAAGATGGTGGGATAGGGGCATGAGTCCCGGGCTACCTAGGATGCTGGAGCTCTCTGGTCTTGGCTCTACTGCCATCTTGCCAGGTGGCCAGCTCACCCCTGGAGGGCCTGTCCATTGTGCACCCCAACCACCTAGGGGCCAAAAGCTTGAGCTTTGTCCTTGATTCTTTTCATTCTCCCATCCTGACATCCAATCCACCAGCTAATACTGACAGCTGCACCTCCAAAACAGATCCCAGGTCTGACCACTTTGCTCCATCTCTGCTGCCATTGCTGCCACTGCCACAGTGACTGCCACCACTCTTTGACCACCGGCCATCTCACAGGTTTCTCATCTTCCGCTCTTGCCCCATTTGCCACACAGCAGCCAGTGGCATCCTTTGAAGTCATCAGTCTGACTGGTTCCCTCCCTGGCTTAAAACTCTCTGATGGCTCCCCAATGCACTTAGAATAAAATGCACATTTCTCCCTCTAGTCTGAAGACTACATTATCTGGTCCCTTCCTGCCATCCTCTCCCAACTCACCTTCTACCCCTTCCTGCTTCATGCACCAGCATCTGTCCTGCCAAGAAGACAAGCTCGTGCCTGCCTCAGGGCCTTTGTGGTGGCTGTCCTCGCTACCTGGGAAGCTTGTCCCCCAGAACTCTACCCGGCTGGTCCTTTCCCATCAGTTGGTCTCAACTGAAATATCACCTCCTTAGAGAAGCCAGCAGCTCCTGAATTAGAGCAGCCTGTCCCCCAGTCACCCTGTCCCAATTACCCTGTCCCCTACCGCTGTCACATCTGTGGATAGGGTTATTGTCTGGCTGTCCCCAGCAGGTCAGTCCCACAAGGGCAGGACACTTTTCCTTGTTCCTTGCTGTCTCCCAGTGCCTGGGACGATGCTTGGCAGTTAATAGGTATGCAACTAAGATGTGTTGGCTCATTAACTGACTGAAGTTCCCCTTGCCTGCCAGGGTTCTGCCGTGCCCACCTGCTCCAAGCAACACAAAAGACCTCTTCCTGCTTCCTACCTCCACCTAAGACTTACTCCCCATTGCCAGTAGCCTCCAAGTCCTGATCCCCCAGGAGGTAAGGGGAAGAGGGTGGATTAACTGGTTAAGACCTCCCTCCTCCTCTGGGTGGGGTCTTCTCTTACAGCAGTGAGTTACTCTCAAATGCCAGAGTTTTGACAATGCCTGGAGCATTCTCTCCTAGATCTGCTCTCACTCAATTCCATCCTCAAATGTCACCTCCTCAGAGAAGCCCTCCCTGACTCCACTCCCCTGCTTTCTAT